GGGGGCGGGGCGGAGCGAGGGGCGGGGCCTGCCTTGGCCCCTCCCCTTCCCAGACCCGGGCGCGGTGCGCGCGGGCTGCAGACCGGCGAGTGTGTAAGAGAGTCTCGGGTTACGCGCGGCCAGGGGGGCCCGGGACCTCCGGCGGGTACACCAGGCAAAGGCTTGCGCCACGCCGGGCACCCTTGGTCTGGGGCCGAGCTTGTGCAACGGGACCTCTAGAGTCCCCGAAGCTAGGGGAAGTGACTGCCGGAGAAACGGGAAGCTTCTCCGCAAGCAGGCCGAGAGGCGTGGGAGCGCGGTTGTGTGAAATCAACCAACGGATGTTGATGAGGAATTTACTCTGCCAGGCACATGGGAAAGGCCTTGTTTGTCTGAAACATTTAAAAATACAATTAAAAAAACCCCAAAGCTACACACATATTTTCCAGATGCGTTTTGCTATCAATTTTGTAATGCAAATTGATTCCTTATCCCTGCTCTCAAGTATTACACTCACAACAACCCTTGTTATTACGGTCGTTGATGTATCATCTGTAGTTTTAAAATAAGTGCATTAAACTACCTATTTAGATGAGCACTTAAATTGTACAGCAATAAATAAAAAGAGAAAAGGATTTGTTGTTTGGAAATAAATACAGGGTGATAGAGAGTCTATATAAAACTGCTGTGGATTCACAGCCTTACTGCTACAGACAAAGAAGTCTAGAAGGTTAATTCCTGCTGGACTCGTCTTCCTTGTTTGTACAAGGATCTATGACTGTAGGAAGTGGGTTGTTGCCACTCACAACAGGTGTTTTTGTTGGGCCTTAAACCCTCACACGTTTTTTTCTTTGACATCAGTCTTTCTTGGACTGTATTTTAAAAACTGGACCCCAAAATGCAGCCTGGCCCAGAACCTGTAAGTTTTCCTTGAAGTTGGATGTCATCTCACTTTCCCATCAGGAAACTAGCTTTAAAAGTCTGGAAGAATCCCAGGCTTAAAGCTTTCCCCTTGTCCCAAGCCTAGAATAAGGGAGATAAAGTATGGTGGTCATAGCAGGTTGGGGAACAGATCCTAGGACCCCACATTATGCTCCAGCAAAACAAATACTTGTAGTTCCCAGCACATGCTTTTGCAATTTCATGCTATATCTAGCAAATTCATTTCCTTCTTCCTGAAGTAACCTACTGCTCCTGGCTCTTGTCCTGGGAAACACCAACTTAGTCTTCAAGTTTTAACTCAACAGCTGTGTCTTCTGTGAAACCTTCCCTGGTTCCTATACACAAACTTAGGCGTTCCTGCTTTCCATGTTGCTTTTGTATATTCTGCTCACACATTCATGTTGTAACAGCGATATTGCTTTCCAATTACAGTTTTTAGACTTCTTATGATACTGTGAGTTTTGTGAGGGCAAGGATTTTGTCTTTGCTGTTTTCATGAGCCTATCTCAACCAGCACAGCATCATGTGTGTAACTAATGTTTCTTTTTTTTTTTAATTATTTTTTATTTATTTATTTATTTTTGTGTGAGGGAGATCAGCCCTGAGCTAACATCCGTGCTAATCCTCCTCTTTTTGCTGAGGAAGACCGGCGCTGAGCTAACATCT